AAGATGGACGGCTAACTGAACAGCTGCTGGATCCCGTTCTTGAATTAGAAAACCGAAGATACGCCAAGCAGCTTCATTGGAGCTGATGTACCGACCAATTTGGTAGAGCGTAATTTCACCGTTTTTGTTCATTGGAGGAGCATTTACATTAGTATTTTCTACTCTAAACGCAGCCATATCACTGCCTTTATAGACATACTTGTAAATATATTTGATGCTCTTCACAGAACTGCAAAACTCAACAATAATATGAGCATTGTATGTCTTGCTTAGCAGAGGCGAATACGGCACCACCCGCCATTGTCCCCTATTATCGGGATTTCTTCGACGATATATTGGATATCCGTCGGTATTTGTTATAGTATCATTAGTGAAATCTTTTGAAAAAATTTTAGTACATTTTCCATCTGCCATGCCAGGCGAAGACGAAGAAACGAAGTGGATGTAATGCTCGATGTACTTGTTGGCGTAGTTACATAAAATATTAAGAAAAAAATTTTTGTTTTTCAAAAATATAAACAACATTTATGTCAAAAAAATAAAAAATTTTTTGTCAAAGTAATAAGGATATTTTTGCTGGGTAGGGACTCCCTAATCACTTTAGCGGTATGAAAAATAGATAGTACCCGATTCTCAGACCTACTGAATACACCTATAAAATTTGGTAAAAATCGGTAAAGCCGTTTCGGAGGAGTACGGTAACTAATATTGTGACATGGAAATTTTATATATAAGACCGCAAACAGACATCGTTTGGCCTTGTGACTTATTGATGGTCTTTGCAAATGCCAATCTAATAGGAAATTGAACGCGTTTGAATTAAATTGGCTTGTCTGTGAGAATCATTGGAATTCATGGCAATAAAACTTTTTCGTTTCGGAACTTGCCATTCAAAATGGTGGCTTCGATAATGTTTTTCATCAATTTTTTAATTACCAATCGCGTACTATTGCATAGCCGTGGTAGGTTCAAATTCCGAAGTAAAATAATCGGTGATCCAACTTTCAGTCGTAAAATGTGTGGTGGCATGCCTGGCAAATCCAGTGAGTTTAAAAACTCTGCTGGATAGTTTACAACTTCGTTGGTATCACGAACTGTATCGATCGATTTGTATGATATTAAGTCGCCTGGCAATATCTGTTTTATCTTGAAGTTTAATTCATCAACGTCCACGTTTTTTTTTGCTGCTAATGGCTCTTTCTCCCAGCCACCCATGATTTATGTATTGTATGTGTACATCTGGAAATACGCGGTCAATGAGAGCATTTTGGGAATCAACGATAGTGCAGAAATTAGGGGGCAGTTTTATGAATTCAGTATTTTCATAGACAACTTTTCATATCATAGCAAGTTTTCTTTTTAAAAATATAAAAAAACTTATGTCAAAAAAATAAAAAAATTTTTATTAAAGCAATAAAGATATTTTTGCTGGATAGGGACACCCTAATCACTTTAGCGGTATGAAAAATAGATAGTAGCCGATTCCCAGACCTACTGAATACGCATCTAAAATTTGGCAAAAATCGGTAAAGCCGTTTCGGAGGAGTACGGTAACTAACATTTTGACAATGTTAATTTTATATATAAGATATATATCATATATATCAGTACATGTAAAAATAAGATATAAACAATAATTTTTAACAATTGTTAATATATAATAAAAGATTTGTTATTGTTCTACACTATTTAAAATTTATGTTTCAACACAATGCGCCAAAATGCTTATAGGAGTAGGTAGAAAAAAGAATGTCAGTTACCCTGAGTCTTAGCTAAATAGAAAACAACAAAGAGGGTTACCCTGAATCTTAACCCTATAGTTCCCTATTATTTGTTTTGTTTAATAAAACCACTGAAAATAGTTTTAAAGTAAATAAGCAGTATTTGTTGCAAAAAAGTTTGTAAATAGAATTTAGCATCATATATTTAAAATTTAGAGTTTTGCAAAATATTATCACGTATAGTGTAATTGTAATGATTATTGACACTATCACAGCAGTTTAATAGTAGATGATTTGAAGAAATTCTTGTAAATAAAAAGTTTAATATGGTTATAACACTTTTAACAAAAAATTAAATGCTTTTCATTTTATTCGGGTCGATTTTACAATCACACTTAATTGTCGATTTGACACTTATTTTACATTTATTTGAATTTTTAGTATTATTTTAATGGCCAATATATATCAAACATTTCATATATATTAATATTTGCGAATATCAAAAGTTCAATATAACTATTCTAATACAATATGTATTTGGCACATGTTTCTAAAAAGGTTTGCCATCACTGCCTTAGGATATGCAACACATTGTACATTTATACAAGGCATGTTGCGAGCATTTGCATATTTGCAAATCTAGAGATTGAGAATCCAGAATAATTATTGAGCATTTTAAAATAATTTTGATAAAGTTGATTATATATTCGAATCAATTCATACTTCATAATTTGTCATATAAACTTTTAAAACAATTTTATTTCTTATAATTTCTTTTGAAACTAAAGCATTTATTAAGCACTGCATTAACTAAAATGTTAACAGTTTGAGAATTATTACAATAATAAATATATACAGTTTTATAGTCAGTAGTGTTTATTTCAAAAGTTTATATAAAGCATTCTATTTTTATGTATAAAATATATTACACATTTAATTAATAAAATAAAGATAAATTATTCTTTTTCTACTTATTAAAAAAAATTTTTTTAAAATATCTAAACTCATACATTGGCGGGTATACAAAGTTGTGGGGACTAGAGTTCACCTTAAGTAATATCAATAAAAAAATAATAAAAATATAAGAAAATAAAATATATGGCAGACTTACCAACACCTTGTTATCGAATCTCAGCATGGTTACAGGCTCCTTTTGAAGGATTCTAGTTCTATCAGGTCGGTAAGACAAGGAGCCTTAAGGATGGTCATAAGATGAAACACTGTTTTGAAACACTACTGTAGAGTCTCCAATACGACCAAATCCTTTGGGAGGTAGAGTGTAAAGTGTTAAAGCATGTTTCCGTAGTACGCAGTGACTTTGAGCATCGATACTGTAGTGCTGATTATCGATCTGCTTTAGCTAAAGCAGCTGCCTGGTACGTTTTCTGTCTAAATTTTTTTTTTTTTTTTTTTTTTTTTTTTTTTTTTTTTTTTTTTTTTTAATTATATCTTTCTGATAAGAAATTGACAATTATGTAATCAAATCTTAAAAACTAAACATAATGCAATTAGCAGGTGCAAAAAAGGAGTTTAAACTTTATAATAAAATGAAATGGATTATTATTATCAAAATTTATATCAACATTTTTAGTAAAATTACGTTAAGGTGGTACGAAGCTTTTTCGCTTAAGTCTAGATATTGTGGTATCAGAAAGCAGCTGTTGCGCCATTGGATTACTATGCTGGTGAAGTTTCACTTTATATTTTTGGCCGCATGTTGTAATGACGTCTGCAATAGTTGGGATTCCAAGATCTTTGTGGATATGTACATTTTTGAGATACCAAGGAGCACCGGTTATTTGTCTAAGTAATTTGTTTTGAACTCTCTGTATTTTTTCGATATTAGAAGCACATGCTGCACTCCAGAGTTCTATACCATAGGACCAGATAGGTTTTAAGATTGAATTGTATACCAGGACTTTATTTTCCAGAGTTAGCTTAGAGTTTTTATTAATAATCCAATGAAGCTGCTGTGATTTTAATTTAATTTGAGATTTTTTGCTTTCAATGTGCTTAGTCCAAGTCAGCCTTCTATCAAGATGAATGCCAAGATATTTTACATCATGTGACTGAGGTATAATGATGTTATTCAACTTAACAGGGGGGCACGTTTCTTTTCGCAGAGTAAACGTGATATGCACACTTTTCGTTTCGTTTACTTTTATGCGCCATTTTGCTAGCCACTTCTCCAATAGACTTAAGTGAGTCGAGAGACTTTGGGACGCCCTTATGTGGTCACTGTTAGAACTAAGAATTGCAGTGTCGTCCGCGAAAGTAGCAAGTGTGTGATTTGAGAGTAGTGGGAGATCAGCTGTATAGATTATGTACAGAAACGGCCCCAATACGCTTCCTTGAGGAACATTGGCCATTATGTCGATTTCTCTTGAAATAAAGGTATTGTATTTCAATGTAAATTTTCTAGAAGATATATATGAATACAATAGCTTATGCATATTTTCAGGAAGATAACG